GCTCTGTGACTAATGCAGAGTTGGATGTCCCAGTAACATCACTCTTTCTTTATCGCTCCTTTATTGTTCATTTGTACGTTTAATCTCTGAAAGTATTGGATGATTTCAATGAAATTTGAAACTAGGTTTTGGTCAAACGTTATACGAATTTATAGTCCCCAGCGTTACAAATGTTATTATAAATTACTCCTTATGTGACGTATTTAAGTACACACGTCATTACGATCGACGTGATGTAGCTTTAACGAAATATGTGGATAATAGTCCGACTTTGCAAATTATAAGCACCAACGGATTCAATAAATGTCAATATCATTTGAAAATAACATAAGTATGTAACAAGTGTAATGCATGTGCAGTCTACTTGCATTGTTAACAGAATTCACGAGGGAAGGGGATATTTGAAGCTCCATAAAATAATCCAAGAATCAGTCATTAGACTATAATTTTTCCATCTGAAGTTATCCGCCTCCCAGTGTCTGCAAACTGTCTACTGCAAAGGGACCCAGAGTTGTATCAGTTCGTGCAGAGAATGTCTGAGCCGACTACGTAAGCCTACGTAGACTTAGCCCGGTGGTTACTATATGTACCATCTGATAACTTTTCTCTCGACTCACAGAGTACTGATATGTACTGTGTAAGCCGTTACACGATCACCAGCAACGCTGCTCGGTATCACAACTCAGAATACCACTAATGACATCTGATCGCCGTCGAAACCTGTCCTTTGCGCGCCACTCATAAAGTGGTACATGCTCTTTCTTCATGTGCTCTTCAGATAAGACTGGGTGCTGGCGAATCAACTTGATCTGACCTTTTCCGATTCGTAACTAAATTGTAATATTATGAACATTTGGTAAGAATCCGCTAATGGAGAATCATATCAAGACAAGAGTTCAGGACAACACAACACAGCGCCTGGGGTTTCCCGTTCGTCGGGCCCCTGCGACCAGCTGGCTTTAATAACACACGACAAGGACGAGGTTGACGTGGAGGAACGCCGACAGTTCTACCGAACGTTACCATCGGTTGTCCGACTGTCAGTCCACTCTGGACGGCGATGAAGAAAACTGTTTCTTTGCCTTGACATAATCCTGTTTCGCCGTTTCAGTTTTTGATCGGATGCAGACCAGACTTTACGCTGCATTGGTCTGTGTCCGCTTAACTGCAGAGATGTCGGAGCCAGAAGGTTATCGCAGCGCGTGGCTCGGTCGTCAAACCATTTCTTACTAATTGATACACCAGTAGTGCAAGTCACTTGTCATGCCAGAGAAATAAATTACTCTCGAGTCATTATGACCACAGAGGTTAGCCGAAAAAAAAATAACGAAAAACGAAGTCTTCTGTCTTATTTCTGTGGTCCAGTGGTACTGCATGCACTGGAATAGAACTGAACCGAAAAGATAAAATGAAAAATAAACAAACTTTAGCAATCCTGGCGAGCGTAAGCCTCAAATCGCTGGCTAACAGCATCTACCAGGCTGCGGCTGGCTAACGATGCGTGTTATCTGATCGGTTCTGCTGTGCTCCAGTGTATGGAGTACCACGGAGCCACAGAAATAAGACAGAAGACTTTGTTTTTCGTTTTTAAAGGCGTTATTCGGAATAACACGATTAACATGAACGTTCCACCTCTCAAAGTAGAGGAGTGGGAATTACGTATTTCTCGGAAAAGTGAACACTCGTTCGAATTCCGTTTCTTTTTCTCGTCTTGTGATGCTACAGTTGTGGGCTGATCCCCCACGCAAGGGTTTGGAAAATAAAGAGTTGGAGGAGTCAAGATGGATGTAGAAACATGATAACGCCAGGAAGAAGAAAATGACGAATGGGTACTACATGGAAAAGAGGAAAGAACAGGACACAAAAAAGAGTAAGACGATTCGTGGTTCTCTCTTATCAGGACCTGCCTTGTAAGCATATATTTTGTTTTAACATCTCTTGACTTTGCTTTGCTTCCCGCGACCTTCACGTAGTAAAGTGACGTCATCACCTAAAGCTCTCTCTCGCGCGCGCGCGCACACACACTTTCCCACCTCTCTCTCTCTCTCTCTCTCTCTCTCTCTCTCTCTCTCTCTTCCGCCACTTTATGTAAGTAAGCTCAAGAGGTCACGCGTTTGTTACTTTTTGTGTGTTACTTGCACGAAATGTTCAAGTGAACCAGCAATTGAGAGAGAGAGGTTCTGTCTGTTTCCTCACTCACCCAAGTGTTTTATCTCAGAAATGACTCTACTGATTTCGATGAAATTTAGTCATAGGGCAAAGCTATGCTAGGGGTTATCCGTCGAATCCCATTTCTGTTCATATCTGTTCACACTCTGCATGAAACTCAGTTCTCTCTTCACGCCACCAGGCAAACCTGGAGCCACTGACTACTGACCTCCGTTTTGAATGGATGGATCTATACCTTTTCGCCCTCTACACTTGTGGTGTTAGGTTCTCGTAAAATACCTCAAAATCGAATTATGACAGTTTTCACGAATACAGAATTTTGGTCTGTCAGCCCAATGGAAAATGACTACTTGGAAGTTAGCGAAAGAAGTGGAAGATGGTTCACGTAGAAATAGATTTTGAAGATGAAACGTGGCCCAGGATCGTGTCCAGTGGCGAATTTTGATGTTAGCAGTGTTGAACCTTCGTGTTCTGAAAAGTCCAGTAACTTCGTGGCCAGCTGAGTGACTGTCAGCATCTGAAGAAGACTGCACCACGAATCCTGTGTTTTTTGTTGGTTCGTGCGTCCTTCGCTGTAAGTCTCGCTTCTGGTGTTATTTGCTTCTCTGATGTTCGTGATGATAATTGACTAACATAGAATGAATGTATAAATGAATTGATGAATGGTAGTGGAATCGGCCGCTTGTGCCGAAGTCTGTTAGATTTGACGCAGAGAATTACAAGAGTCAATAAAGAAACGGATTAGAATCCCTCTTGGATTGCGGTTTTCCACCAGTAGATCCTTGTAAATAACCCAACTCCACAGAACACGTTTATTGATAATCTAATTAGCACTCAACTCGACAAGATATTTACGGCCTTTTATAACCCGGACGTTCATTACTGTGTTCACAAGACCCCGTCATTTGACTGCCCCAGGTTAATCCAGCCCATATGGCGACATCGTCCTTGATTTGAACACACTAATATTTTTTTATGAAAAGTACAAACTGTGAACTCTGATAAAATAAATGCTAATAAACGATTTAGAGAGAAATAGGTCTGCTATGAGCAGAATTATTTATTACATTCTGCATTGCTCTATGGAATTACCGAATGCGTTGAAACGTGGAGTGAGAAGGTCAGCAAGTTTTTTTTAACAATTCCGATATTCATTCGCGGAAAAATGTTATCAAGATTCAAGGTCATGTGAACAAGGAAATTACGCGGGCTACCGGGAGTTTTGTAGTATTCTGAAGACGTATTTATTTATGTTGAATATTATATCGTCTGTTCCTTTGTTTAGGAAATAAATGAAAATGTAGAGAAAAATAGGAAGAAAGACAAAAAGGGAGAGACAAGCAAAGAAAGAAAAATAACGAGAGAGAAAATACACAAAAATGAAGATATAAGTCGAAATAAATAAAACAGAAAGTAAGAGGAAAATATCAGTTGCATTTAATTTCAATGCGTGCAGAAGAGGTAATACAATAATGCAAATATCACTAGATGTCGGTAACTTACGCACTAAAGTAATCCCAGTTTCGCATTAAGGAGGCCTACGATTCACCTGACCACAACGTTTCGTGGTTTACCCTGTCTATCTGTAGTCAAAATAGTTAGTTAGGCTGCTTCTTTCTAAGCCCTCAGCTGTAACTGTTGTAGTCTAGGTGCGCGTACGGCCTGGGATCGAACACAGCCCCTGCAGTACTCTGCTGCAAGTTTAAGTAATGAGGTGACGTCATTCAATATATTCGATTAAAAAGTAGGAAAGCACGAAAGTTCTGCAGACAGACTGTTGGCCTTCAGGCTCAACGTTCGAAACTCGATATAATTAACTGCAACTTTTAATGTTGAATCTGTTACGTTGTTAACCGTAGCATTAACACGTGTCGGAGTAACATAAGCAGTTGGACAGTTTCCTTTAATCGTTCAGGTACGCTCATAAAGGTTTTGTGTTGATTTCACTTGAAAGTGACAATTTCAAGAAACAAACTCTGTAATAAGCACCACATTCCATTAAATTCAGTATCTGGGCGGGTGGAAGCGTCTGCAGAGGACGATATGGCCCTCTTTCATGTCCACAATGGTCCTATTACAGCCTTCATTATGTGGAACTCTATTATCCATTTCCGGCTATGGACATCTTTAGGGGTTTCAATTAGTTTCTTCGCCATCTAAAAGAGACAGACCCGACTTCTTTGACCGGTTGGCTTTCTAACGAACGGGTACAGGCAGTAAAAATGGCCTAAGCATGAATTCAGGATGTTTTAAATTAACCGTTTCAGACCGAAGCTCTCTTAATAGGTTAATATTTAAAATTCAGTCCGTACCTTAAAGAAAACGCACTGTAACGCTTATGAAAATGAAATGGTTGATGCAGTTTAAAGAAATAATAGCTGTTTACTCTGAGAATCATATCAAACCGATTAATACAGAATTGTTGGCTGTTAAAGCATGTGGTATATATATATATATATAGTTAACACTGGGTTGTAAAGTGTTAAACCGACAGTGATGATGTCAACATTTCGATGACTGCTGCTGGGGACGAAGCCAGTCTCATCTCACTGAGGCAAAGTTCTAGCATCTCTAGAAATGTGATTTGTAGTTATCACAGCGGTGAAGATGTTATTGTTGGTTTTCTGGTACCAGCGTTTCAGAGGATCATGCTGTCTCCCATCTTCAGGACTGAAGGTAGAGGCAGTATGTCCCAAAATTCTGGTATCTGCCTAGAAGCCCACGTGGTGTTATTACCCAGAAGACCAACATAGACATTTTCGGAAGCGGAGCGTGAGGACGGAGAGGCATTTTGAATTCTCTCAATGCAGAAGAAATTGTGTGTGTTACAGTGGTCCTGACGTTTGTCAACTGTTGGGACGTCAAATGGGCTACTAGAGTACAGGACGTATTCACGTACGCCAAACTGCTTGCGCTGTTCATCATTATCATCACCGGCTTGGTGCAGCTCTTCAATGGTGAGTTTGGTGATTCTATAAATTGAAGTCTTGTTATTTACATCACACCCATGCGTCTATCTACCCAGACGTTAATTTTATAGACTAATTGACCTAATTTAGTAAAAATCTATAAGATTATCATGTAGTCTTAATAATTTTCATCTCACAATTAAGAAATACTAACATGGCTTTCCATGGGAACTTCTGAGGTGTAAACAATACTGTAGCTATTGCATGCATAGCCTTGGAATTGTGTATTGGAACACAGAAACAGTTCTTTATGTCATTTTCCGGTGTCCCTTCAAAGTTTTTATGCAGATATATTTGTCTTGATCGAGCTAAATTCTTCCCCATATGTGACTTAAACGTTCCTTTTAGGATTAATTGAAGGGACTGCAGTGCCAAACGACGAAAATTAAGTTATCGTTTATTTATTTTCACTTCTTCGTTAAAAGATTTCGTTTAACAGATGCCATATTTAATTGTTTTTTGCGCTTTAGTCTCGGGAACAGACGTTTCTGACAAACCCCAGCTCTGTTTTTGAACATGAGTGTGAGGTTTGCTTGTGGCTTCCTGCGTAAATTTGCGTGTCACTTTTTCATAGTTTGTGTTTCCGGATATCCAGCGGTTGGAACCTCCGGCTGCAACACGAGTAATCTCATTGCGTAGTAAGTAACCTTTGCGGTCGGGAAGTACCCAGTGCAGTGGCTAACTGTCTCCTGGAGAGTCGCGCGTCTCGAATAGCCACAATTACCTGATCCATTTCCATAACGTTATACCCGCATCTTTTCTTCGTTCCTTCAAGTGATCGCTTTCCAGGAAGTTTCCTCGCCAACATTCTGTTTCAGTATTTGGTGTCTGCTGTTCTCATTGGCGTTGTTCAGCTGCATATGTAAACGTCTGTACTTTGTACGTGATTTGTTCTTTTTGCCAAACATTACAATGTAGAAATTAAGGAAGACGAAATAGGCAGGACACGCATTGGCTATTACTATTACATTTCTTTTTTAACTTTAGTGTATAATTTCAGCGCCGTTATATGTCTTGTGCCATCACGCGATATCCTATTATAAGATCAGCTCTCATTTCATTGCCGATAGAACATAATGGGCTTACAAGCCGTTGGGATGAAGATCCGATTTCTGTCGTTTCTCAGAACTGCGATAATAAACTGAAACAGAGAGCTAGAAAGGAAATAGGTGGTAACTTATTAACTAACAGAGTAGTCATATCAAGGAGACGCAAAGAGTCAGAAATGATTTTTTCTTGTATTTGTTAAATATACATAACAAGCAAATTGTTTCAAATAAAATATGCTAATCGTAATGAAATCTATATTTTGTCACGTGTCAGCTTTTGTTCGAGCAGCAATTTTAGAAAAAAATGTTAGAGCTGTGTTTTAAAAATTAGGTTATAGTGGACAAGTAAAGACTGATTTTTATTCATCATCTATTCGTGACCTACGGTTCATTACAAATCGAGCCGAAATGAACTATGGCAATGAAACTGCAGGAGATTGATGGACGGAAGTGGTCGTGGCCTGTTTTAAGGTAGTGTTCTAATATTTTTCTGCAAGGGACTCACCAGAAACTCCTAAGAATTTACGTTATTCGGCATCAGAGCAGAAATCCGAACACGCTGTCCGCTAACCACCTGACAGACATGTTACTGCTTTGCTAATCCGTTAGGTGAAGAAAGAATATTGCAGGCAATATATTATAGTGAAACGCCTACGTGCCTGGCAACCCACCTTACAGATGCGTTGGAAGGGCTGCCGCATCACTAGGATTCACGCGCAAGTCAGATTCCAAGTTTTTTGAATAACAACGCGTTAAGTGTCGGTATGAAAATTTAGTTACTACAGCTCAAAGGAGTGGAAGGGTCAGGAAAGGAGGCGGAAGAATAATGAGAAAGTAGAGTTGTCTGTTGCTTTAATTAATTCCATGGAGCAGAGTCTTACATTATTGAGAATCTGATAGTACTTTAGCTGGTCAAAAAATTGGTGTCTTCCTTTGATATATTCTGATAACAATTTTGCATGGTTTGAACATGTTGCAGTTATTACCTAAAATTGTTTCGCACCATTGCTATGTTATAATTTCAGATTTAATCAGCGCACTATATGATTCCAAAGGAAACGTTCGTTCTCCAGATTGAAGCCCTAATTCTGCCCTATTTATCGACGCTTCATCAAGTATAAAATTATATAGTTTCAAATATCAGGATGATTGTTGTCTGCTGATATTAAAAATATAACTGTTGTTTATAACATTTACGTAGCAGACAAAATGCATCTTCGTAATGCCACTGTAAGAGTGTTTTAACATTCTTCCAGACACTCCACACTATGTTGATAGGTGACTTCCATGTCTTTGTGTTTTAGGACACACGGAATATTTCACGTTCGAAAATACAAATGCGGATGTGACGAAGATCGCCCTGTCTTTCTACTCTGGTTTGTTTGCATACAATGGCTGGTAAGAAACTTATTTAATTTTAAACTAGCAGTCAGGGTTGAAAGTATCGCAGGCATTTTTGAAAGGTTTTCTGGCATCCTAACTTTCTACATTATACTTTTTTTAGGTTTGTTCACGATATCATGAATTTGTCAGTTTGTTATTAATTTTTGTTTCATACAGGTGATTTCCGATTGTGGTAACTTGTGTTACTTAATTTAATTTGAGATAAATTTAGGTAACTTAAAATAAACCATTTATTCCTCATTATTTTTCATTTGTGTGCATTTCTTACATGAAGTATGTAACATGAATATGGGGAACTCATGTCTGTCAGTAAATTATATTTGTAAAAAACATGTAATATATTCATGTACTTACATCATCACTTATGCTATAAGTTACTGTTATTGAAGAGGCTGAATATAAAAATATTGGACATTTTTTGCCTCTTTATAAAAAGTTGCATAACTGTATTGGAAGAGACAGCGTTATTAGCACAAGTTAATGTAAAGTTCTGAACTTCGATAGTTTTATTGTTGTTACATGCTGGTGGAGTACATGGTAAAGCTGTTAGGCACATTTTATAATCATTTAGTTGTGAGTGTACCTGAAAATTTTCTTTCTGTACAAAATATTGATATGTAATGTAAAAAATATCTCTCATTAATAATTAATTTTTTTTCTGATTCTTAATGTATTTTATGGGTAGCAAAATAAAAGGAAAATTGTTGTCTAATTTCTGTGTGATATCTGTGCCATCTGTTTAACAGCAGTAGATTTATTTATATAGAATGAGTTAACATCAAAGCCAGTCGTGCATTTTGACAATGTGCACCTTGCACCTTTCCACTCTTGTTTCATTATGTCACACGTTGCAGGAACTACCTCAATTTCATCATTGAAGAGCTGAAAGACCCAATCAGGAATCTGCCCCGTGCTATTGCCATCTCTTGCACTCTGGTAACTGTTGTGTATGTCATGACGAATGTGGCATTCTACACGACACTGTCCGTCAACGAGGTCTTGGGTTCAGAGGCGGTTGCTGTGGTAAGGAATGATGAGTACTTTATTCCTACAAGTGACTTTGGTGTTGAGAATGATCTTGTACCATTTTATACATGATAACACTAACCGGAGCTGCATCTTCGCTGTCACTGTCAAGAGTAAAATAAGCTGTCTTTGTTATTTCACAGACGTTTGCTAACCGTTTGTATGGCTACATGGCTTGGATCATACCTGTGTTTGTGGCACTGTCAACATTTGGAGCTGTCAATGGAATACTTCTAACCTCATCAAGGTAAGCACCAAAATGAAGTGAGCTGTATGCCAATACAAAAAATGGAGTCACTGATGAACTAGAAAGAAGAGGAAACCAATAGTTACAATAAAAACATTGTCAAAATAACTTTACTGAAGCCAAAATTTGGGTAAAAATGAACGTAGATTTGTTTTGTGAATGTCCTGATCTGGTTGGTTTATGCAGAACATTTGAAGTAAAATGATACATCTATGTAAATCTAACAATTTTATATTATGTATTCTGCTTACATAAATAATTTAAAACCTTGGTTTAGAACTAACAACAGGAACAGTAGTAACAAATTTTATAATGCTCGTGCATGCATGTCTGGGTATGGTGTGTGTCACTGCTGAGACACGATCAGGAGACTCCTTGCTTCTTTTACTGAAATGAAGATAAGGGGAGAATACATTTTAATAGAAAAAGATGTTGGGTCTATTTGCAGGAATAACGAACAGAATCTGTTAAATAGTCAGAGTTCCTGTGCAGCAAATCCAATGCTGTTACTGCAATGTTTATTCAGAAAATGGTTTTCAAGAGACATATATTCCAGGTTGCATATTTTGAGAAATATGACATTTGGTACATATAAGAGCTGCATATCATCTTTGACCTGACCTGACCTGTTATGCACTACACGTGGGTATGTCTTTGTTTTCAGACTATTCTATGCTGGGGCATGTGAAGGGCAGATGCCAGAGATTCTAACAATGATCCAGATTAAGAAACTTACTCCAACTCCAGCTGTTCTCTGTATGGTGTGTGTTGTTTCTCTCAAATATAATACTGTTAAACTGTTACAACTTTGCTTTAGAATTAGAAAATATGGAATGAAGAAGTGAAATTTCATGTTATCATAAGAATAGAAATGCAACCATTTTAGTGTAATTCAATATATATTTTCTTTTAGATGAGTATGGTGACAGGTATCATTGTTAGAAATGGTTATAATTTTCAAAATATAAAAGAACTATGAATAACTATGCAGTTTCTGTCTAGGGCTGTAGGTAATGATATTGTGACACTCATTTTCATGGTCCATATTCTAAAGGAGATGTAATGTAATGACTGTCAGTATGGCAAGAACATATATATATATATATATATATATATTGGTGGTTGTTCATTTTACAGGCTCTACTGTCTCTGTTGTATCTCTCCGTTTCCGACATTTTTGCCCTCATTAACTACGTGGGATTTGCCACATGGGTAAGATATTTGTTGTAGAGTTTATGTATGTATTTATAGTCATTAAAAGGTTGCATGTTTTCAGAATAAACAATAACAAGGGAAGTTCTAGGCAAACATGATCAGGCCAACTGCAGTACTAGCATTCTCATAAGAGTATCAATACAAACACCTTGGTAAAGCCACAGTATCACATATAATACCCATTTTAAAACTTAATCACAATCAAGGGTAGGTTGCATATTGAAGTATTGAAGTGTGCCTGCAACACAGGTTACATGCCCATCCCATCATACTAATACAAAATGAATGGCAAAACTATTTTTTATGTTCTGAACTCTAGTGTTTTGAAAGTTTATAGAATGGTAACAGGTTTTGAACTGAACAATAAGAAGCATCCAGAATTTAGGAATATCTGAAATTGAATAACTTTTATGTCATATAAATGATCATCTGTAGGAATGGAAAATATAAATGTGAATATAAGAATATATTTGTTACACAAAGCAGTCTTTTTTATTTTCTGACTTTACTTTCATCAAGGCGTTTCTGAAGAGAAATACCTTAATATCCCACAACCTATTGGAGTTACATATGTTTCTTCCTAAAGATGACGGTAATGACAGCACAGAAATTCTGGAGCTTCAAGAGCCTAACAGATTTTTTTTCTTGCTAGGATGTGGTTACTGCCAACATGCTTTATATTTCAGCTGAGCATCGGAGTGGCTGTACTTTGTCTTCCTTGGCTGCGGTGGGCACAACCCAATCTGCCCAGACCAATTAAAGTGAATCTTGTCTTCCCCATTGTCTACATCATTGCCAGTCTGTTTGTGACGATTGTGCCCATGATAGCAAGCCCTAAAGAGACAGGTAAATTATTCACAGTTTGCTGATACAATGATTTATGTCTTGTATAGGTTATGTAATAGATGATGTGATGATTTTTAGGAATGGATGTAGAAGAAAGCAGTTGAATCTATTTTAATGCATTATCATGAGTTTGATAGAAACAACAGAAAGCCTCAGTCAGGATTGCCAGCTTCTGGGCCAAGATTTCAACCCAAGACCTCCGATATATAAAACAGGAGAGCTAATGAACTATAATGTTTACTAAATGACCATTAAAGTGATAGGAAGTTCCACACTTCGTATGTTCACAAGAATTTAAAGTTATTAGCAACTTTATTGCTTGATGTTCTTACAGCATACACATTTTGCATTTTGAGTTTACTTAAAAATAAACTCACAAATTAATTATTCTATAAAGATAATTATTACATCATATCTTGTCACATTGTGAGTCAGCACATGCTCAGGAAATTCTGTGGGGCAGTTTCAGCACAAGTCTAATTACAAACATGACTCACAGGATGCACATCATTAGTAAAAAATCGAGTATTTGCCTTTTACTACAGATGCCCAGGTCAGTGTAAATATGCTCTATTTATTACATTTGTATTAAAAGATCATATGTTTTCCTGTACTTTGGAGATCTAGGTATAGATGGATGGGCATTGTAAAAGAGATAGTGTTTAAATGTGTGAACTGGATTCAACTGATGCCTGAGGCATGCTTTTGTAAATGCAGTAATGAACCTTCAGGTTCCATAAAAATGGAAAATACCTTAACTATCTGAGCTTCTTGTTCAGCTTCTCATGAAGGGCTGCTGCATGGAGTGAGTTAGTTAATGTCATCCTTATACTTACCTTGATGGATGATAGGCAAGTCTTGAATTGCAACAACAAATGTATCGTGTGAGGGGTAAATACATTGCACATTACCAAACCTTGGATCGTGCATGTATGCATCAAGTGTGCAACTGCTGTAATTACTTTTATTCCAGGATATGGCTGCCTCATGATCTTCTCCAGTGTTCCAGTGTACCTGATTTTCATCTCTTGGAGGAAGAAACCCAAACCCATTCAACGTGCACTTGGTAAAAACTCACATACTATTTAGTGCAAGAGAGAGGACATTTGTCACTCTTAGATCTGTGTGTAGTGTTTTACAGTCTGTTTTTAATACAAGGCTGATTCAGAGAGTATCCACAATATTGGAATGTTTTCATTTTATAGTTGTTAACGCTGCTGAGGCCTGGTCATGCTGTAGTTTAATGTCATATGGTGGTGTGCTATAGTGCTTTTATTGTGGTTTGAAGGATTGGAAGAGGCAAAACTCTAATAACAATTGACTGCCCAGTATGGACAATTGTTTGCCATAACAAAGCATATGGATGTCCTGACCTATCTGCATCAACAAATGAAATGCACAAAACACATTGCTCATCCTTGGTACAAACCTGTAGTGTAGTTGCCATTTTTACACTATGCTCACTCAGCAAAAGTGTACAACTGAAGCACACTTGCAGCATGTCAGTATCTGACCTTGAACTACAGTTATGGTGAGGTCTCAATATTGTTTCCAATCATATAAAAAATATTCCATTATTGCACATACAATTTGAATCTCCCTGGTATAAACGTAGAAATAAAATGTTACTGTTAAGCTTGTAATTTACATTTTTCAGTAATTAAACCCCTTTCTTTCTGCTGCCAGTGTCACATCCACTAAAGGGCCACTTGGTTGAAATCACCCAAATTCCTCTTTGTCTCAATTTTTTCTCTACTTTCTTAGTTCATACTTACCTCTATCACTCAGTTGGGTAACATAACTCAATCTGGGTCATTTTTGATCTTAAATTTTATATATGTAATTCCAAAGTCCCTCTAAGTATGCTGTTATATCCTTTCTATAAGTGTTTTCTTACCTATATAACCTTTTCAAACTTAATTTAGTTATGAATTTATTTACTCCACTTTAATTCATGATTAAATTATTCATAATTGTGTCACATTTATATTTTTTAATGACTTTCTGGTTTCAGTTTTATGTCTTGTACTGTCAATAACAATTATTTTGCATGATGAAAATGTACAGTTCAGTTTGTATATTAACTTTTATTACTGTGTTTCTTATTTATTATAAGTATTGAATCAATTTAATAAGATTTATTTAAATTAATTTCAATTATATTATGATTTTCTATGGATATTGTGATCTTGTTCTCATTACAGGTGTGGCCACGCACAGCCTGCAAAAGTTAATGATGGTTGTACGACCCCAAACAAAGGTTTTGTTTATTTTTTTAAGCCTGTTTTACTTCTTTATTACTAGAATGTTGTAAATCTTAAGGCAGTGGTGGCTTCTTTCTGATGTTAATATTATCTGAATCTTTGTGGCAATTTTATATACTGAAAAACACCTTAGATATGTTGTTATGAAAGAACTACTTGTTCAAAATTCTGTTAGGGAGCTTTTCGTGCCCATAATTTCTCTGTTCAGTGTCGTATGTAAGACTGTAGATACTGACTGATCAATTGTGAATATAATTGTCAGTGTAATTTCATTGGAAAATTCCACAATTTGCTAGTTTATAAATTTCTGTCATGAACAGTAATAACATTATAATGATGTAAACATGTGTGATAGGAGTGAAACTATTGGCAGTTGAGTAGGCTGTTATGCAATGACAAGTTTTTAATAATTAGTTTTTAAGTAGCCATCTTCAGAAAATGTAAATTAATATGGTAACCACGTAAATTATCGTGGTGTGATAACCAATGATTCACTGCAACTTGACCTGTGAAATTTATTTGTTGACATGTACAAACGCATCTGTTAATAGTCTTAAACTTGTAAGATTTGAGGTTTTCACAGCAGTGAATATGAAGATTTCTGTCTTCTGGGTTGTTGCGCTATGTAGTCTGGTCGATGTTAACATCGACCAGACTACACAGCGCAACAACCCAGAAGACAGAAATCTTCAGTCGTAAACTTCATTGCCCTAAAATGTATCATATTAGTGAAGAATCTGACAGATTAAGCTGAATAGGTTTGATACACAGGTATATGTGAGCAGCCACCACTGTCTGATTTCCACTGCTTCTCTCAGATTAGACAAGAAGAATTAAAATCAAATGAAGGAAAGTGCATTAATCAGATGGCCAGTCGGAAGTTACGGAAACTGTGATTGCCTTAGCAAGCACCTTTCTCCTCTGCCTGTACTTGACTATCGCTTGGTTAATGAATTACCTCAAAGTAGTTGTTTTCTATAAATTCATTTTCAGTAATTAATTTTAGAAGTATGACTCAGACTTAAAATTATTGAGTTTGTACACGCATGATTAATTCTCATGCCACAAGTCGTAATAGATGTTTATCGTATTTCATTCAAATTAATCATAGCTTGACATTGCAAATTAATTTAGAAGTATATGTGCTTGTATGTCATGCAGCAATATAACAAATGGACAGGCATAGTTTTTCATAAGACGAGAGAGTTGAAATTCATTGCAATATGTGCTGCAAGAATTTGGTGTCACAGTTTCCCACTTGACTTGCTTTGTTATTCTAGTTAAGTATTTTGCACTTGTACTGTGTTTGCACACCTTGCTTTCACAGTGCTTTAAAACTGCTTAAGCTTTTGTCTTTGCTCTTTTTATCTCATTCTCTCAGCTTGAAGTCAGTCACACTTGTTTGTCAATGATACTGAACTTGACTTTAACTTACTGGTATCTAATTGTTTTATGTTGTCTATTATCAATATATGTATAGTCATTGCTTTAGAGGCACAACAAACTGTCTGAATATCTGTGTTGAATCAGTAGAGTAATTTTTAACATTTTCAAACTTAAAGGCAAATTCTTTGCTTCTGCTGAAATGTGACTAATATATTATAATGTTACATATAACGTTTTGCAACCTGAAAAGAAATCATTCAAGATAATTTTGGTCACCAGTTTACCGATTGATATTCAAATACCCATAAAAATTCATCCACAATTGTCTGTGGGCTACAAGGACATTAATCCAGCCCCGGATAAGTCTTGAAGTTCAAGAATAAATAAATGATCCAGAGAGTTAATGTTGTGTACAAAAGTGGCATAAAATGCAGGGTTGAATGGAACAACTGTATGTGCTGGGTACAAACAATTCTAAAATAAATTTGAATATGGATTTTCTGAAATTGTTACTTAAATATATAAAAATAAAGTAAAATGGTGTTATACGAGAATATGGAATATAATTTAGCAACATACAGTAAATCGTTAAGCTATTTTATGAACTTAATACAGTATTATTTAAAGGCAAGGACAAAATAAACAATACTGAATATTTTATAGACTAAAAACTTATAAATGTGACAAATCTTATCTCCCAGAACATTATTTTGATACATGATGAGCCATTCACAGCTGACAATATGTTTCTGTTCTTGCAGTAGCAGTAACCCGCTGTCTGCAGAAGATCATGATGGTGGTTGGTAAGGAGAAACCTGCCCAGGTGTAAGGAACTTACTCGAAGAGACATCACACACAGTTATTAATTTATTGGAATCAGCGTAATATGTTGCAAACTGTTAAATTGTTTGCTGTATAAGGGACCTGGTTATTTTGGCTTCTTTTATTTACATCTGGCCAATGATTTAATTATCTGTTTAGGATACCAACAGTCATTACATCATGGACACACCACTGACTTTGAGAACAGTACCATGTAAAGTGGTATATATTATATTTTTTATAAAAGTGCCAAGAAACGTGCACTACCATTAAAATTATCTCTATGTTTCATCACAAAGACTCTCACTTATAAAACACTATGTAATTGTTTTATTTTGTTTTATTTTATTTCTACCAATTTATTGCATTGAATTAGTACTGATTTAGCCTGGACATATGACTTATGTCAGACCAATGATATTATTAATATATCATACAACATACATTTCTTCAGATGTGAAGTTCCATGTAACCTAATAATATACTCTCATTAATAAGTAAGAAATGTGATAAAGTAGAAACAAACTATGTTGATGTTTCAGTAGGATACACATGTATAGCTGTATGAGCAAAGAAAATAATAATGTCTGTATCATGGCTGTTCACTTGTTCTAAGGAACAGTAATTTTGACCCAAAACATTCCCTGTTTTGGAGTATGTCTTCGTGCTGAAGAATTCTTCCAAGAAATATGAGAATTATTAGAATTGTTACCCACATTTTGTACATATAATATCATTTGATTGTAAACTGCCAATTTATTTTTATAAGTTGAAATGTATGGGGCTGTTTAGTTGAGTTGGTCTTTTAGTTGGGATTGCTGTGTTAACGTAGTTATGAGCATGATTGAAGTAATTTAAGGAAACCTAGAATTAAATATTTTATAAAATTACTGTAAGTGATTATGTAGTACGTTATGAATTGACTATTCTATCATTAGTAGCAAGGAGTTATCTTATAATTGAAGCACTTTTATTTATCTCCCAATATTAAATTATATTATTTGTAAGAAACTGGTAAAATTTTAATTTACGCTTGCTTCATTTTATTCTATAAAATAAACATTTTGTTTCTATGCTTGCATTCACTAAATGGGTGAATGTAGCATTATGCTTCCTGCAGACATGATGATGCTTCGACTGCATACAGTTATAGAACATCATATGATAAGGTTTATTTAATTTTATTAAGTAGATTTAGAAATATTTATAATTTAGTATTATAATTTAATCTTCATGCTAGTTATAATTATAATAAAGCTCAATGACTTTCTGGTTGTGTAGAAAGACTTGTATTTTTATATTTCTCAGTTTAAAAATCTACAACATGCCAAATAGTCCTTAAAATCCATTTAATATTAATATCCTTACAAGAGACACCTTGAACTCTGATTCAGAAGTCAAAAGAGTATACTTTGTGCATTATGTTACTCTCTTGCAACTATTCTGCTTACAATCCATGGTTGCAGATGATAAGAAACATATTCAATCTAGTTGAAAAGTCATCTCTGTAAGCCTGTAAACAAAACAAGGCATCATACACATGTTGATGACCATGCTACAAGCTGGACATCCACCCGTTTCTGTCTGTAGAACCAAACGTTTCCATTACTTTTACTCTTTCTGTCTCTTGATAAATCACTGCCTTTCTGTCACAGAACCATTTTGCCAGTCTGCCAGAATCCATTGCAAGAATTATCATATGTGATGTTTGTTAATGTCCATATATTCTTACCCTGGGTGCTGGATGAATTTGCTCTAATAAAAAATGTGGTGGTTGTGGTGGTCATGGTGATGATGATAACCATGAGATTTACATTACTGAATTCAGGATGAAGTATTACAAACAAGGAATTTATTAGAATCCCAAATGGAAAAGAGAAATCATTTTCACATCAAAGTTTCAGTCTCATATCTAAATTATATACCATGGCTGATAATCAGATATAACCTACTTCATTTAGACAATATATAATGTACTTATGACTTACACCATGGGCTGCAAGAGAATAAGATCTGCAAATTCAAGGAAATGAACTTGATGGAACCCACTCTAACACACTTTACTGGAATCATCCACAGATAAAACTGTATCTAACTAAGGTTGGAAGGAAGGGACTTTGTTTGGTGAAATTGATTTGTATTAACTATACTGTACAAGCGTACTTACATTAAGCAACATAATGCACATACCTCCATTATACACGAGCGCCCTGTATAGAAATATCATATAAGATAATTTTAATAAGGACAGGAGCATTAGAACGCCAGAAAGAGGAATTTCAGATATTTTAGTAATACCATATCATGAAAATAATTTGTTTCATGTCTATTAAATTAAGTATTCCTTGTTGCAAGAACTGGTTACCTGATGTAAAGATTTGAAAATGTTTGATTTAAATTATGCTACACTACTGAGAGTCTTAAACAGTATTGCCTGAAACCACGATGACCAGATTATGAATGTCTCATCAGTTTGAATGTGTTTTATTTTGTAACACTGTCAATAACTCATACTGTATATTGTCAAATGAGAGGATGATTAATTAATGATAAACTGGTAAGAATGTAGAAGGAAGCAAGTTATGGCCTAATTTGAGGTATTACCTCATTATTTATCTGGAGGGATTGAGTAAAACCATGAAAAATCAGGTAGGATAGCCATTGTCTGGGCCAAGATATGAA